AGAAAGAAGTTCCTTCAACATTTGAAGATTAATAAGCTTTGAGCATCTTGACCTAGCAAGTCTGACTTAATGGTTGTTAAGTTTAAGTGTTAACATTTTCAGGCTTAAAGTTATCATTTGCTTCTTCTTATAATACATTCAATTAGATTCATGCTTTGAAAAACAAAAACCTATACATAAAAATTGGATTATATGGTTATTTCACTGTGGTTCTGGCTCCTATTGCTGTTAAATGTTGGCAGGCAATAATTGTAAGGGAATATCATAGACTACCTCCTAAAACACTTTGTAAGTAAGTGTATTAATATCTTGCATTAGGCAGTCATACACTCCAAGTAAGCATCAAATGGTCAGACAGTCTTGCAAAATTTAATGGGTTAAACTTAGCACTCATCCTTAAGGCAATATTCGTGTGGTCTTCTTGTGTGTGTATGCAATAACTTTTTAAGATAACTCTTTGTCCTTGTTACATATAAAATTAACTTGATATTTATTCTTGTTTATGCAATTATACCGGTTTTATGTTTGCTTAATAGAACTGATTTTTGCAACTTGATTCTTCACAATGAATTGGTAAAACACAATAATAATAAAAAAGTGTGTCAGTGTTTCATTTGATTTTTTTAGATATTCCCAGATGATTTCTTGTTATATCGGATCTTTTCACAAAGCCTTTGAGAAACTCACTGTTGGCTAACAATGTAATTAGTGAATGAATGACAGTGATGTTAATTATCAATGAGCTGATGCTGTAAGGTAACAGTTGTAATTAATAAGTTCAAAAGAGGTGTTATCTCATTATATATATATATTTTAGTTAAAATTGTAGTGTCATTGGTTTTTCTCTTCTTTTATTTTCTCATGGCAAATGTTGCTGTAATTTTAAATGATAGTCATAGAAGACTGATGTAAGCATAGTTCACTGTGGTGGTATGTATATCAGTTAGATCGAACTTCTCACTGCACAAAAAGATTAATTTGAAGTAAATCTTGTTACTTTTTCATTATTTTTATATATTAGGTCATCCCATAAGTTCTGTCCGGATTTTAAATAAAGAAAACGAGTGATCAAATCTTACATTTTATTGAAATTTAATCATCAATGTAGTTTCCATGATTATCTATGACTTCTTTCCATCTACTTACAAGCTTTTTAATCCCACTACTAAAAAACTCTTTCGGTTTCGAAGAGAAGAACTCTGAAATGTCAGTTTCGACCTCCTCATGGCTTGTGTGAGTTAATCCATCCAAATGATTCTGTAAACTACAGAACAAATGGTATTCTGAAGGAGCAAGGTCGGGAGAATAAGGTGGATGAGGAATTTTCTCCCAACCAAGTTCTTCAATCTTCTGGGACGTGATTTTTGCAGTGTGGGGTCGTGCATTGTCCTGATGAAACACCACTCCTCTTCAATTCACTAAAACAGGTCTTTTTTTTCTTTAAAGATGCTTTCAAACACTCTAATTGCTGACAATAGACTTGAGCAGTGATTGTCGCATTAGTTGGCAGCAACTCAAAGTGAATAATTCCTTTGCAATCCCACCAGATAGAGAGAAGAACCTTCGTCGCATGAAGTTCCATTTTCGGTTGTGGTTGGGCCTTTTCCCCATTACTAAGCCACTGCCTATGACGTTTAACATTTTTATAAAACATTTTTCATCACCAGTCACAAATCTATCCAAAAAGGGCGAGATAAGGTCACGAGAATGAAGAGAAGAGCAGATCTGAACTCGCGATTTGAGGTTCACTTCAGACAATTCATGAGGCACCCATTTTCCAAGTTTAGGAACATTTCCAAGTTGTTGAAGATGACGATGAACAGTTGTATGGTTTGAACCAAGCTTCATTGCCAATTCTTCAACTGATACTGCAGGATTTTCTTCAAGTTTGGTCTTCATCTTCAAGGCCAGGACTTTTAATATGACTACTTTTCAACTGTTATGTGAAGACAACAATTTAAGCACAAATTCATATATCTCTATATCAAAATAGTAATTTGGCCAATCAACCCTGAACTAAAAAGGCTTATTGCAAAAATGACAAGCTTATGTGTGTATACATACAAAACATATACAAGCATGCTTATAGTTCACAGTGTTTATCGCCACTGTATTCACAGCCTATAGACTTCTGTTGCTTTTCAATCCTACCAAGATTTTCCTTATTTTCTTTGTCACTTAGGTTAACATTTTATTTATTACAATCATAAGTTCTAAGAATATGATCTATTTCAAAGTCGCAGTTCCTAAAATATAAAAAAAAAGTATTTGGCAAACTGACATACCACATTTCCACACAAAATACAAATTAAAAAAAAAACAAGTTAACTAATGTTTCAACATCATTTTAATTATAAACTGTTTAGTGTTGTATACTGAGTAATCAAGACTACAGTTTATCTCAACAAACAACATTAAAATTTTTTCTACTACTTTTATTACATCTACCACATGATTGGTTGATTAGAACTACTGTACTTCTTATTTTTTCTTTGTACCCCCCAAAATTAGCAATAGGAGGTACAGTTTACCCCTATATGCATAAGGGGGGAACACTGTTGTGTGCATTAAAAATGTATACATTCTATTTATAATACACTATCTATCTGGATATAAGTATTGAAAAACTATTAAAACCCATTAGAATGCAATTTTGGATGAAATAAATTGAAGTTTGAAAAAATGTCTTGAATCATGATGTTTAAAAAGTATATGAACCCTGTGAACTGGTCTTAGGAACTTTTTTCCCATCACATTTTAAAAAATCTATATCACTGTGCTGTTTTTTATGATTCAAGGTTCATTCTACCCTTGATGTTGGTTTCCAGTTTTTCTGGAAGTTTTGACTGAGAGGTAAATTATCTTTCCTTTAACTTTCATTTTTTAAGCTATCCTCACTCTGGTTTGTTGGAGTTGTTTCATTACAGGACTTATTATTGTTTCCACCAATCCTGCCTTTGGGACTGGACACTGTTTTGATGGAGGAAGCCCTTTCTTGCAACACATATATTATTACCTTTGCTCATGTGAAAATGGTTTCAACTCCCATTATCTTGGATTGGCTAGGGTTCATATTGATAAGTACAGTTTGTAAATATTGCACTATTTGTTTAGTTCTTTGGGGTGTGTCTTTGCCCACTCAGGTTCAAATCTACCAACTGATTTTATTGTGGGATTGAGATTGGACAGCACAAAGCAGTTGCTCATTCTTCTTCTTCAATTAAAAGTGCTCCATATGAAGTCTCAGTGGCTTTTGTACAGGTTAATTGTTTATCTGCCTTTCCACACTATATATTTGTGCTGCTTTCTCCTTTTCACTTTTAGAACCTTCAGTGTCAGGTATTCTAATACCTGTTTGTCAGGAGGTATAGCAACATAGTTGAAATTTGTACTTTTTAACACTAAAATGAAATTCAACTAGCCACTTACCTCTGAATATACCTCCCACTTTTGTACTTAAAGTTTGTGTTAATGACTATCTGGCAAGAGCAAGAATGAAGAGGTCCATGTAACCATACTTAGCTGTGTATATATTGTCTGTTGGTTATATACAACTCTTGATATATTAAAGTTTGAGAATGAGAGTTCAGAATTATATTATAGTATGATAAAAGGAAGTGACAGGAGGATTAGGTTTAGTTGTGTGTTGAAGTGATAGTTATCTGTCTGACCAAAGACATTTTTCACTAAAATATTTGAAATGTAGCATTGAAATTACAAAAATGTAGATTTTTAGCTTTTGCTAGTTGCTTAACTGTTTAGTACTTTATCTGAGACTGTCAAAATTGTACAACAGTATACTCCCCTCATATCAATCTATAACAATTTGATGTTATTCTTTCAAATTTTTTATTAAACCTGTGTATAAAACACTACACATAGTCAATGTGCAACAGATGGCACTATACAAGCAAAAACTATGTATCGTGTGAAAAACCAAGTTTCTGAAATAAATGTTCCCTTAAAACAACCAACATATATATTTTGTAATTTTAATTATTGTGAATCTGAGTAGAAGAACCATACAATTACATTCCTGGCCACAATTCAGTTTACATGCTTTTGGAGAAATTATTAAATTACTATTATTGAAATTCTCAGGATGCTCTGCTATTCCTCTGCAACTTGGTCAACATTTGTTTAAATAAAGTATCACCAAGTTGACTTCCCATGTATGGTCTGTCGTGCCCTAGCCACTCTACACCTAGAAGCACATTCTTTTACTCTCACCCACATTGATGTACTCTATGGGATTGAGATTCCAATATCGTGTGGTTCGGATCCCTACCCAACCATTGTTCTTTCCCATTTGGATGTGCTCCTTCCAATTTCTGCCCATGTCTGCAACACCTCTTTCCACATTGGGTGAAGAGTATACCTGGTACAGAAGTGGTGCAGTCTCCCATGTGTGATCATCTACTGCAAGGATTTCCCCTTTTAGTGGGTCTTTCGGATGCTTCTTTCTTTCCCTCTCACTGGTCCCTCCACCTATTCAATGGGGGATTATAGCTATTTATGTGAGAGGAGGTAAACTACCATATTGAAAGTTATAATTTTCCTACACTGAAAATGTATTTCCAATAGGTACTCACTTCCTCTCACCCTTCCTCTCCACTGAAAACTGGTGCTTCCATTTTCTGCCAAAACCTGAAGTGATAGTTCGGTAGAATTGAATAGAGGAAATTACATGTGTCAGGAGAGTATATTGCACTCCTATTGGTGGAGGGTTGTCACATGATGATTTATATGTGAGATGCAGTTGAACCACATTGATTGTGAGGTAAGTGGAGCTCAATTTTTGCATATAGAGGGCAGCACTGAACAAAAATAACTATTTATGTGAGAGGAGGTAAGTACTTGTCAGAAATACATTTTCAGTGTAGTAAAATATTAGCAAGAAATTAAAGTGAATGTAGAGAAACTTTTGCTTTGGTATGCTATTCCATTATAAGATAAACTTTGATTTTCCTTTGCTAAAAAATGGTTTGTTTCGATATTAGATATTTTTCAGTGGAATCCACACAAGAAATGTTGACAGAATGGCGACCTCTGATATGTCCTTTTGATGTGACTATGAATAAAGCTATGATGTACTTTGAGCTGTTTTTACCTACTCTGTTGGGCCCTGATAATTATGATAAAGGATTCAGGTTGGCATCATGTTTTCAAAATTTGAAGGAAAACAAAGATTTGAAATAAGCCATAAAAATATTGAAGCTATCAAATAATGTAATATGGAACCATAGAATATTAGCAAAGTATGTACAGCTAAAGTTTTTAAAGTTTTAGTAACAAAAAGAAAAGGATTCATAGCATTCTGTGTGATATTTTTGAACAAATAAAATATTAAGTTCTTACAGAATTTGATATTGTAAATTTTGGTGTCAGTTTTTAAAAAGAGTGGAAAAATCAATATATGAAAATGAGATTTTTATGTTATTGTGGATGTCTAACATTATAAATTCTAAAACAATTAAAGTGTGATGATACTTATGTTAGTCTTTATATGTAGATGCATTTCACATTATCCTTTTTGCTACCACATTTATAGCTTATAACAGAAATTCTGTTTTATGAGCTATGGTTTTAAAAGTGAATGTATCATAGTGCTTGTGGGATGTCATACTGTTTCTCACACTTGCAAAAGGAACATACATAAAACTAACTATAGTATTGTTAATGTATTTTTCACACTAAAAATGAGTTATTAAAAAAAAACTGTCTTTTTATTTTTTCAGTTGATTCATAACTTTTTACCATTAGAATGTGAAATACAAGCCAAATATACTGAAATGAACACTCGTGTGATAAGGCTTTATGCTTATGTAGCATGTTATCTATTTCAGGTTATGGTTTGAAGAATTTATGGAGATTTGGGATTCTTTTCAAAACTCTCCTACATGGGAAAATGTAAGTATCTTCTAACTGTATATGTATATATTTTTCTAAATGAGTGGTTATATATTTGGAAATTCATTAATCAGAATACATTGAAAGAATTTTTCCACTTTTAATTTTCCAGGTAGGTTATCTATTCAAGTTGTCTTTAACTGCTCTACCTGCTGAACATATATTTTTCAGGCAACAATGAAAATCATCTTTCAAAACATTTGATATAATAGGTACACCAGCCAGGTGATTTACACTAAAATAAATTGACTGTTTAGACTACATTTTAATTTTTTTCACCACTTTACAATCTTTATATTTGATAACTTTCATGCTCACCTTCAGGTGTGCCTAAAAGTATAGTTAATATGTTAGGACTCAACTGATAGTAATATTTTTGATACATTAATCTTTGATATTATCCAAATTATAATCCAGTATTTCATTTGGATCATTTCTTCTTATTATTTCATTTCTTGGTATCATAAATCTTATAATGATTTTTTTCAAATTCATGCAGAGTTCAGTTTGAATTAAATGATTTTCTAGTTGTAAATATATGTATTTATTCACTAGTACAATGTATGTACTGTACAGCATGAAAGACATTGTCCATGTAATCTGAAGACATGCATGAGACAGTTATGGTTTTAAGAGGTAAGTATAACACTGTATGATTAAATTTAATGTTTAATTTATAATTGTTTGTAATCATGCATTACCTGAAGATGGTCCCCTTCCTGTGGACTGAAATGCTGCAGTTTTAATTAAATACAAAAATCCACTGTAGAGCTGGTTACAATATTAAACAGCTATGATTTGTTATACTGATAGGACGACTGGTATTATTAAAGTGTTTGACCAACTATAATAGACACAATGAAGTGTATTACAATTAACCATATTTATTACATAGAACAAATTTATTTAATTTTTGAAACAAACAACAGGGAGTATTTTTGATCACTTGATTAAATTTATACCATCTGAGCACTATATATGTATCTAAAATATACGAGCACTGAAAATTTTGCAATTTACAAAAATTCTAATCAATGGTGTAAGTATGCTCTTGAATTGCCATAAGGAACCCAAAGGGCCTGAGAAATTTAAGAATTGCTGACAAGGGAAATAAATGTTGGGGGCCAAATTACTTTTTATGTGTATGGTGGGGGGGGGGCATCTTCTGTAGTTATGCTACTGATTCTAATGACAAATAAAATTAATAATACAAATAATTTTTTTAATGAAAATGTCATTCATACTGTGGCTGAATCTGGTCCATTACTTTAAGAAATTTTTTTTTATTAATTTTAATTTTTCTTGTGGGGGAGGGGCAAAGGTTTTTTCTTAAAAACTAACTAAAGTACTCCCAAAGTCAATATTGAATGCTAAAATACACAAGTTACTTTTAGTAATTATTTTTAATCTGATTGATATGATATGATTTCCAACTAAAGGATTTTAAAACACCTTCTCCCTCAAATCATGGAATCTCATGCAGAACATTTGTCATTTTATAGTGGTTCGGGCAGGTAGCATGGCACCATCCTTAATCCTAAACCACTGATGTAACCAGCGGGCACCAACCACTTTTACCTTATACTTTATATTCTTATTCTCGTGTCATTTTTTTTTCACAAAGTACTCAAAGTAAATAAGATAAATTGTTTTAATTCTGTTACTTTTTACTACTGTTATACGTTTTATGATTTGGCATCAACCTTGGCACAGGCTCTTCTACCTCCAATAATATTGTCAATGCTCTTCTAGTAATAATACCCAGTTCAATTTGATTTAAGTATCACTTGCTCTTTCCATTTTTGTATGTCAAGAGAAATGTACAAATCCAGAATTCCTGCCTTTTCTCATTCACATGTTGTGTTATATATAAATGTTACACATTAAAGTACTTCAAAATTTACCAATTGTTTAATAGGTTTATTGTGGAAGTATGTATCTGTACTTCTAGGTCTAATGTTGACCTAATAATGATAAACCTGGAAACCTAAAAGTGTAAAATCCAAACTAATGTTAGTAAAAATATTGTTAATTGCCTACTACAGATTTTAATGACAATACAAAAATGAAAAACTTATCCATATCAAACTCCACGTACTCTTGTGAATTACCTTACTCCAGTCTTTTGTAATGATGAAATAGATGGGTAAGTGAATAACATAAATAAGTAAAATATTTTTGTATTTGAATATTCATTGTTACTTTTTATATTCCATCTCTTTGCTACTTACATTTCCAAAAATATATGGCCAAGTGCTAAGCATGTTATTCACAAGAATTTCACTTCTGAATTTAATGGAGTATATGCCTAAAATATGTAGATTTAGTTTGTAGAATATGCTCAAATAGAATTTTTGAAATACTTGTAAAGCAAGTTATTCTGAGTTTAAGAACGTAAGAGTCCAGCTAATGGAAAATTTAGTTGTTGAAACACCTGTCACACTTAAGCAAAAATACATGAGACTGAAGTTATTTAGGTGTTATATATACACCTTTATCTGTGAACGTAAATTTATCATAAGTATACATGTCACCCAGCAGTTATTTAAATTGCATATAGTTTAAAGTATGGGACAGAAAATGAATTTACTTCAAGGAAACTGAATATAACAAAATTATGATAGAATAAAAACTTTTCTAATTCATCTGCAAACAGCCTTCTAGTTTTAGAAATTTTTTGAATCACATATTTAAAAATTGTGTGGTTATAAAGTAATATATAATATGCACTTTAATCTCATCTTGCTTTTATAGAAAATTGCATTAATTTTTTTCAGAGTCTTGTCTGGCTTTTTTCTCGACTTGCTCACGACAATATTGGTTATATTGACTGGGAACCTTACATTCCAAAAGTAAGTTTTTGTGACTATAACATTGCTAATGAGACTTAAACATGCTACAGTTCATAGTGGTTATTATGATGTATATTTCAGTGAATTTTGTATATACTGATATTATAAATTTTCAGTTTAAAATGAATATGATGAAAGTAATTTTAATTCAACAGATAATTGTGGAAAAGTTATATGAAATCCAATGTTGGTTTAATTTATAATTAATATAACTTTAGTGAACAACACCCAACATTAACATGTGAATAAAGAAAATGATGAATTATGAAAAACTGTTGGCATTTTAAAGTAATACTACTATATGTAGGGAACTTTAATTTCTGTTCGCTGTTATATGCATCAGCATTTCGTATGATGATGACTTAGGACAAAGATATAAAATTGACGGAAGTTGTTGTAATTGTCTAGCATGATCAAATCATATTTCAGATACCAAAATAACATCAAAATTTCAAAGTTTATTACATAATCATCTAAAACTTGACATACATTATCCTTTCTTAAAATATATAGTTATAATATACACTGTAGATACTGTAAATATAAAAAAAATACCCGTTCTTAAAAACTATTAAACCATGTTATTAATTCAAAATCATGTTCAACTTCGTGAATTTGCAAAAATTCACAAACATAGGATGAACTTCAGAATGAACACATGTATTTGCACTCCTTATATATTGACTTTTATGTTTTGTATCACAAATGGGTATATGCACATGATATGGGATGATGTTTTTTTCACAGTTGGTTGCCCAACCTGTTTGTTAAGAGGAGCAAAGTGATAATAAAGTTATTTGGTATGATGTTGATAAACAAGCAAATGCAAATATAAGTTAAAAATGAAAACGCCATTCATGCATTATTGTTTTATTGCTAAAAATAAAATATACTCAAATTTTGTCATTATTTTATTGCTGTGGTTTTTGTGTTTTTTTTAGATATTTACCAGACTTCTTGACAGCTTTAACCTTCCTGTTGGTCAGAACAGTGTTCAAGTTAACCGAATAAATTCAACATTTGATGTAGTTCCCTCTGTAAACTGGATTGCATCAATGTTGGTATGCTGTATTTTCCTGAGCACTTATATTTTGAAATCTAAAATTAAATAGGTTATATTTTAGGACAGTTGATAAAGTCTACATTAATAAGTTTTAATCAAGGTATGTATTCTCATTATGCAGATAAAATATGTAATTTATTTTTTAATGTCATCTACTTGTGATGTTTTGAACTTCTTAAATTAAACATGGTGCTTCTGTAAAAATAAATTTTTACAAATCATTCATGTTTTAATAAGATGATATTACATTCGTTACAACTTTTTGTTTCATATATATGTATATATATGTTTGGGCCCGGCATGGCCAGGTGGTTAGGGTACTCGACTCACAATCTGCGGGTCGCGGGTTCGAATCCCCGTCACACCAAACATGCTCGCCCTTTCAGCCATGGGGGCATTATAATGTGACGGTCAATCCCACTATTCGTTGGTAAAAGAGTAGCCCAAAAGTTGGTGGTGGGTGGTGATGACTTGCTGCCTTCCCTCTAGTCTTACACTGCTAAATTAGGATGGCTAGTGCAGATAACCCTCGTGTAGCTTTGCGCGAAATTCAAAACAAACAAACAATATATATGTTGTGTCCTTAGAGCTTTTGTATTGGTGCATGTTATGTTATTGATATTTATCCTGGTGTAAAGTTCAAGAGAAATCATGTTTGTGATTTTAATAAAAACCTTACAGATACTTTGCCTTCTGCCTGGAAGTTGTTCTTGGTCATAGACAGTTTTGGAGTTTCTGGACCCTTCTAACTTTTGAGTTCATGTCAATTTTTTAGACCCCTTTTTACAATTCTTTTGTGACACCTTATTACTAGTTATGAGAAAGGCACTTGGTCTTACACTGTGTGTTTTCAAATTTTGGACCTTCATTTTGTCTTATCCTACTCCATTTCTCTATGGACTCATCACTTTTTTTTGGAGGGGTTATAACTTGTTTGCTGATAAACTATTATGGTCAGATAGGATTGGATTCTCTTGACCAAGTGACCATTGAATATTTTTCCCAGTTACAAGGTCATTCAGTGATCATTACCCTTTAGTCATAAGTCATATTGGTAATCAATTCTAGATTCCGTGGCAGTAATTGTGAATGTGTTTAGTTAATGTTGAATATAGATAGCTCTTCTTTTATCTATACATGCTTCTCTTTCTACCTCTACAGGTTCTGTGTTGAATCTTGGTCATTTCTTGCCATGGTTGTTTCAATCTGGCTTGTTTAGCTTTTGTTTCTTCTATTTCTTTATTTTTTTATCATCAGGGACATCTCCTCCTTCCTCCATTGTGATACCTTTTACATCAAACATAATTTTTTTTTTCATCATAAGGTACAGCTTGCTGGGTACTGCAGAATTCTGTTGTTTCTTCATTTGTCCATGTAGTTTACAAATGATTCATCCTTCTAGTTTAGTCTGCCATCTAACCTCTTCTTTATTTTATCATTTGAAATGATAGACCTTTCACTGGTAATGCAGACACCACTCTGTACTGGTTCTGACATTTTCTGCTTAATTAGCTTATTTTTTTCTTTTAATTAATGTTTGAACAAAGGGACATCCATCTGTTCCTTTTCTGGTTGTCACTCCTCTTACTCTTCAGCAAAGTGATCACATGCTTTTTTTCATCATCTAACTTTTATTCTTTGCTTTTGCTGATGTTCTTTGTTATCAAAATAGATCTGCAAGTGGCAGCTGGAAGCATTGTCTATAAACAAAGTTAATAATTGGTCATGAAAGTCTGTGGCTGCCTGGATATCTTCAAAGTATGAAGTCTTGATACTCTCACAATATTGTGTAAGAAGATTCGTGGCTCAGTATTCCTCATTACACATATCTGTACATGAATCATGTATAAAAATAGTAATTCAAGTAAAAAAAACATACATTTCACACACAAAAAATAAATAGCCATTACTTAAGAAAAATATTATTCACTTTTGAACAGCCAAAAATGTTTGTGTAGTGTTCTAACTTTAGATAATCCATTTTATTTATAATCAACAGGTTTCTAGGTAATTATGCAATACTTGTCTGTCCATATGAGGTCATTTCATAAGTCATGTTATCCCAATAAGCTTGTATATTGGCTGACTGATTAATGGAGCTAGGTGAATTAGTCAGCTTGGGTCCCAGCTTAGTGATCTCGATGATAGTTTCTGAAGCTGTTTTCGATACTCATAATAATGAAATCAATAACCTACGAGAGATTATGTGATTTCTCCAGATGATGAGCTACAGATAATAATAAAAAAAAAGGTGTGTGAGGGTACTAAACTCATTGAAAGTTATTTTAGAAAGACTAATGATTATTCGTAGCCTAATTCTGAGCCCATGGAACATTAGAAAAAATGCAGCAGAGAGTCCAGGCTGGTTTCTAATTGTGATGACAATGTCATTCCTTAAAGTTATTCAGTAAATGTAGTAAGTAGACCTTAAAAGCTCCAGTCTAAATTGGCACAGTGAATTCAATTTGTGGAATGCAATGTTAAATTTGTGTTGATACTGCCAGGTGTGGAAAATTAGATCAAATATTTGTCATTTCAGAGAAGGCATTTGATGATTAAAGGGATGATTATTACAGCTATATTTAAAGCCAGAAACTATTCATATTTAACATAGCAATCTCAATTATATTACACTGCATGAAACCGTACATATGTGTATATACTGTTACACTATGCAGTTTGCAACAATATGTGAACAACACACATAAAAATGGCACAGACTAAGAGCTAAAGCTCCTAACTAACAACTACTATTTATAACCAATATCAACCCTAAATTTTCACATTAGAATAGCTATATGTCCAAAACCATACAAGTAATTCATGTTTTTGTTATTTTTAATTAAATTGTTTGTTTTATTAAGGTAACAGCCATGATTTTCATATGTAGCTATGTTGATGATGTAGATTTGATCTCCGTTTAGATTCTTAACACTTACTGTACTGTAATTTGCCCAGTAATGCTGGTGCTACTTTATTTAAACAAATGTTGACCAAGCTGCAGATTGCCCAGTAATGTTGGTGCTACTTTATTTAAACAAATGTTGACCAAGTTGCAGATTGCCCAGTAATGTGCATCCAAAACCTCATCTTCCGGGAACTGACATACATGCAGGGGTAGGATGAGAATCATACCGTCAGCAAGTCAACTACAATTCAAAACCCAGGCCACCGAGAACCATCATTCATGTGGGTAAAGGGAAAAAATTCATATTGCCAGCAAGTCCACTACAATCCAAAACGCAGGCCACCAGGATTTTGAACAATTATCTCTTCTAGTTATGACCTTTGTACTCGGTTGCTGCTTGATGTAGGTTGCTAAGCTTTTAAAATTATTTTAACATGGAGGACATAAAACAAAATATTTTTTTAGGTTTTATATATACTTTTGAATAACTACAAAATTATAAGTTATTACATCAATACCATAGAATTCTACTATAATTTATCAAGCATAATAACTAAGATGTATTTTAGTCTAAAAAAATATAAAATTTAGAGCAGACTAAAGACACACCCTACCTTGTTGAAATATTGGTTCAAAAGAAAGAAATGGTGCCAAGACCATTAAAATGGCTGAGAAAGCCACTAGGGGGACATTCTGAGCTTCTGTTTGGTTATTCGTGTCATATATAGAAGTAAGTGTATATAAGGGAGTGTTTCTAAAAATGGAAAGAGATGGGCAGGGTGCCACTGTGTTTGATTTATTACATGAGCAATATCTTAGCAAATCGAAAAGATAAGAGGCTCTTATTTTATATTCTAGCTTGTCAATATCTATAGGTGAGTTTCTAATTCGTATAAAACTATAGACTTAGTATTTTGACTTCACAAACATCCAATTTGAACAAGTGCTGTATTCAACATACCACGTGACACACAAAAATTTATGTTTATCTGTGTTTTTTTAATATTTGCTTTTATATTAAAAATTGAGTGATATGTAATACTAAAATTTGAATTGTAATCTACAGTTTGATACCAAAGTTATTGACATAAATTCATGAAATAGTAGTTCAATAAAATTTTGAATACGAGTCAACAAACAAGATGACATGGCCTTTCACCCATGACCCGTCTCAAAATGGTTAAGGGGATTATGTAGTTGATTTAATGAATCATTCAGGGGTTATACTGCTTACTCATAAACATCATCTATGTTTATATACTTTTATTTTAATAATAGACTTCCGATATAGTACATTACCTCTTCTCACATAAACAGCTATTCTCGTTCAGTTCTGCCTTCTATATGAACTCCCACATACCCTACGATCAATGTGGTTAAACTGTGTCTTGCTTGTAAATCATCATGTAACAACCCTCCACCTATAGTAGCCTGATACACACTCCTGAGGCATGTGACTCCTTCTATTGGATTCTGCCAAACTTTCACTTCTCGTTTGGCAGTGCTGTCATCAAGACATTTTATGTTTGTGCTCTCTTCCTGCATTTTTTTTTATTTCATATTTTCTATTTTCTACCTACTTCACTTTCCCAGTTTTAAGTGATAACTTACCTTTATTGTTTATCACCAAAGCTTATGTTTCCACTTCTAAAATGTTATCATTTGCTTCTAGCACAATTACCCAGGCTTCAGGAATGTCAGTTGCTAGTGGCTGGGTTTTGGATTGTAGTGGACTTGCTGGCAGTATCATTTTCTTTCCTATCCCCACATGAATGATGGTTAGCAATAATCTATATACATATATAATGTATAATATTGAAATGTGACTGTATTTTACAAAATACTAGTCTACTAAAACACAGCCAAGACAAGTTACTTTGTACAGACAAAAGGTCACCTTTATGTTAATTGATACGGTAACATGAGTGCACATGAGCCGCATCGTTGTAAGTTCTGTGTTGCTGACCAGGCACTGGTGAAAGGTCAATATAATAAAAATAATAAATATATATATAAATAGTTTAAATCTCATAACATTATACATTTAGACTAAACATTTATGTTTTCATGTTATAATCTGTTGTCATTCTAGAATGAAAGAGGCATAATTTATGTTTATTTCCTAATTTTTTATGGTGGTTGTGAGATTGTTCAAACCTCCTGAACCTGTACAGAGATTAATTACTAAAAATAACAGATAAAATATAAAGTTTTTTCTTAAAAAACATTTGATAACTATCTGGACATTATAAAGATTTCACATGTGAAATGTGAAAATTGTCTGATGCACAAAAGTATTTTTAATCTTAAAATGAAAATTACTTTACATGTTGGAGGGTTAACATGCGAAAAGAAAAAAAAATAGGCATGAGAAAAACATTGCTTTACAAACCTTAAGACTTAATAAACAATTGTATATTTTGTGTATGAAAGCATTGTAATGTTCACTGATAATCTGCCAAATTTCATTAACATACGCTTACTAATTTAAAAGTTATAGCATGAAAACTATAACAAACACAAAATGGTTATGAGGTCAGTCCCAGGGACTGAGCCCGTGCTGAAAGAGTTAAGAGATAAGATTACAACAACAAACTTACTGTCAGGCTGTTTACAGGCTACATTACTTGATTTCTATTAAGAGATTATGACAACAAACTTACTGTCAGGCTATTTACAGGCTACATTGCCTTGATTTCCATTAAGAGATTATGACAACAAACTTACTGTCAGGCTGCATTACTTGATTTCCATTAAGAGATTATGACAACAAACTTACTGTCAGGCATATACATGTGTA